TAATATATAATAATAGTATCCATCTATAGTCTTCTATTGTTAAAACATGAAATTAGATCAAATACATCTAAATGAATATACGAAGCACAAAGGCAACTAATTACAAAACAAGAAACTGTGGAAGAAATGACCAGAAAAAAATAATAATAAACAGCCTATGTTCAAAAATAAATCTGCGGTCGTTTTTTTTTTTCTTTCTGCTCATCGGCAGTTTAGTTTTTTAGGGAATCCACTTAGTGTGAAGCAGCACTTAATCCGTGGCAATTACTGCAGGTGATGATAAAAACAGAACCATGAGCTATCTGACTCAAACATGATAAGCAAACCTCCTACTCGGGACTTATGATTTGCTCTGACAAGAAAAAGTTGCGCTCAAACCGGGACGGAGATCAACTTTTTTTCAATCGGCTCTCTCTGCAGCAGATCCCAGCGGAGCGCTTACAGTCATCCTGAACCCGGAGGAAGCCGCAAAGCAGGTACTCACAGATGCGGAGACGCTCGGAAAACTCCCAACAAAAAAATCCTCCAGCGATTGACAAGCGAGGGGAGAGAGGGGAGAGAAAGAGAGAGAGGAAGAGAGGGAGAGACGGCTAATTGTGCTCTGGATGCCGCAGTTATCTCAAGGGTTTTTCCCACTTATCCCCTTTACACAACTTCCAAAAGATTTGCTTTATGAAATCATTGTGTGATGTTTAAGCCAATCGCCGGACAGTTTGCGAGATGTTTAAACCCGTAACCAATAGCGGGGCTGGGAAGCGGAGGGTGGGCGTGTCCCCAGGTGTTCATTATGATGGGGCAGTGGGGCGCAGCTGGGGTGAGGATGCTGAGCTTCCTCGGTCCAGTTGGGATGCTCTGACTCCTGCCCCCATCCACGTGTGATCGTATGTTTTGTTTTGTCTTGATTTATTCAGTCTTTTAAAGAAGAATAAGGAGTAATGGCTGGTTTAAATAAAAAATATCTGAGTGCTGAATGACAGAGGTGTGAGATATAATGTATTTCTACAATTATAGATTTAGATAATGTACACAGGATTCTCACTTCTGGGGGTAAAATCTTGACACGTGTGCAGTTCTGTGGTCTAAACATGGATTTAGAGGGTCAGGAAAATGACATAAAAATGGGTTGTTTATATCATCAATAATAGTCGGGTCACTCCATACTCGCACTCAGATCTGTTGACTTCTGGTTCACCCTACAAATGCTGCAGTTTGTAAACAAAGCATGAAACAGCAATCTTATCAGGGGCAATTCATACAACACAAAATTCAAATCTTCAATTTTATACATGATTAAAACTCTTAAAGGGTCTCTTTAAGGTTTTACCTTTGGAGGAAGTAATTAAAGTAATTAAATGCACACTTGCCTCTGACTTTATTTAAGAAAAATCCTCAGAGAGCAGTGTCAGCTCTTTGAGGAACGCAAGGAATAAAACAGGAGCATCGAATTTGCATGGAGCAGAGTTACAAGCATCAATAGCAATGATCCTCAGAAATAATAATTCTTTCTCAGAGTGATGAGCAAAAAGTTAGTGTACTGTCTCATAACAGTCACAAGTGTGTGTGTGTGTGTGTGTGGAGAGAGAGAGAGAGAGAGAGAGAGTTTGCAGGTTTACTACTGCCAGATGTATAATTCTTATGTCATGCTCCACTGAGTCCAGCCTCCCAGAGACCCCCAATGAAATGAGTTGTGTGTTGGTCTGTGTATGTGTGTGTGTGTGGTTGCGCACAGCCTGGTGAAATGAGATGTTCACATCCCAAGGACGTCTCCCACCATAATTTAAACTCACTGGTGCTGGAAGACTTCAAACTGAAAGTGCTGAAGTCATAAACCAGTGCACTTCTGTCTTTACTGTTATTGTCTGTGATCTACTGGTGTAAATCTGCAGGCAGGTGGCTGTGACTCAAACAATGCAAATACCAGGACAGAAACGTTAAGCTTTTCCATGCTGTGATTACTGCATATTGGCTCCAGGCTATAAAATCAAGTTAAAGACCCAAAGTCAACAATGCTTTTACCTATTTTGATTGCACTTGTGTTGCAGTTTATCTGCCCCATTTGATTTACAGGTTGCAGAGATTCTCTGACATGGTCACAAAACGTGAAGGGTTAGAAGAAAGAGAAATTCCTCCAGGCTTGACGTACTGCAGTGCATGATACCTTCAGCTATTTACTCCCTGATCTACCGTCTCTCACAGCAGAGACCAGAGTGTTTTTATTTATGAGGGGGACAAAGAGACATCTATCAGCACTCAGCTGAAGCCAGTGACAGTGTATAATGTGACTTTGAGGCAGAGAGTGAATTGTATTCCTTCCCCTGGGGCACACTGGGACAAATCCC